ATAAGGGACGGATTGGAGAGAGGAACTGCCTGCACAAGTCCCTGAAGATCTGAGATAGTCAGTGCATCTGGTGGACTTGACCAGTCTATGAAAAGATGTGGTGTGATATCCCGTCAGATTCAGGCGGCATGTCAGAGCAGCCATTACTCAGGCGTTAGATGTGTCAGGGGTCACATCCCTCCTTTCCGTAATTGTCGAGCATGCAAGGTTCACCTCGGAGATACGACCTGGACCATATAGCCGAGGTGGCAAACGAGTTCCAACCGTCTCGCAGGATGATTCGCCGAGGTGGCCTTTCAGGACACGTCAGAGGACCAGGCCTCGGGCAATCCGAGCCTAAATGGCCCTCTTCACTAAGCCCCCCAAGCTTTGGGAAGGACGAGCACGGTACTCGCCGAGGTCGTTATTTCCCGAGGCTGACAAGTGTGCAAGGCACGGGACACAGACACGTCATGACTGTGCAGGGGGGACTAGGAGAGAGGTGAAAACAGGGGCTGTCAACTTTAACGTCGGGTCAGTCAAATCGAGTGTCAGATGAACAGCACCGTCATTAATGAGGAGAGAGAGAGAGTTTTTTAGGGAATCCCAAAGATCGCGTCTCTTCGGCTTCCCCTGTCGCCCATAAATAGGAGCCTTTTTTCACCGTCTCTTTCTTTACCAAAAATTGTGAATCACCCCAGAGCTCTGTTTCTTTGTCTTTTGACTTCGGCAGTCTTTCTAAACCACATCTTCTTCGGCAATTCCTTCAGATCACATCTTCTAAGTAAGTTTTACTTCTTTTCCTTCTGATACAATGGCTTAGAACAGCTCGTACTCACAAAGAGACAGTGCGGCCTGACTTTACCGAGGCAGAGAGGCCTGACCCTCCGAGAAGAGAACTGCTTCCGACGTCGGGGGAGGAGGTGCAGAGTCATCTCACCGAGCTGGCGACATCTGTGGAACAGCACGAGGGGATCGAGGTCGATCCCGAGGTCTTATACAACGATGACCTCGGAACCGAAGTCCCAAGGACGGGGTCTACAAAGAGCCTTCCACCCCTCCGAACGTGGATTCTCTTAACTACGGCCTGATGCGACCTTTGGGAGTAAGTTGGTGCAAGCTTCTGTAGTCGAGGTGATCCGCAAGTACCCCTGGAGGAGGGATTACAGTATTTACATACCCCAGCCTCACCAATCTGCCGCACTGCCACCAAAGGATAGGATGGCTATTTATGTGGAACAACTAGAGCCGGACTCAGGGTGCCTACCACAAGATTTTTTCGGGACTGTTTGAGGTTCTGGGGGGTGAGAATCACTCAACTCACCCCAATGCCATCCGCGTCCTCGTCGGCTTCCAACTGCTATGCCGCCACCAGGAGATAGAACCCACAGTTAACCTATTCCACCGCTATTACTCACTTAAGAACAGCGGGAGCGAGAATGGTTGGTTTTACTTCGGGAACAAAGTCCCGAAATTAGTGGTGGAAGCCCCGAGCTCAATAAAGGAGTGGAAGCATAACTTCTTCTTTCGTCCCGGCTGAGAACTTTCCTCGGGGGTTCTGGTGGAGGCCCCCCACCTCGGTAAAAGAAACCTCCCGAGCAAGCTGGAAGAACACAACCTCCAGAAGCTACTGGGGTCGGGTCTCAGGATTAATTGTTGGGACTTTCCCGAAATGGTTCTCGTAGAGGGCGGGCTCAGCCGAGCACTGATCAGCTCGGACCACCCCGTCCTCCTTTCTACTAGGCTCCACCGACCTTGTACTTTTTCGCTTTCCCTTTTTTGTTTTTCCTTCTCGAATTCTAACTAACTTTTCCTCATTCTTTGCAGTGGTGAAGGTTTCTGACCTGATAACCTCGGGAGACGTCGAGGTGGCAAAGAGACCACCCAAGAAGCGCAAGGGCACCGCTGAGCCTCCGCCAGGTCTGCTAAGAAGACCACCGCAGCGACAAGCGACCGCGAGCCAACCGTAGTGATCGTGGGCGAGGGCTCACACACCTCGGCCTCTCCGGGAGGCTCCGTGCCTCGGCTATTCCTGTGGGGTCCCCATCCGAGGGGTCACGATAGCCACTCCACCTCGGGGTCAGGGCGTGACTGCGTTCCCCGATAATCCCGTCACGGGGTCCTCTTTGTTCAACCTCCACCACATGGCTTCCAAGGCGGCCGAGGAGGACAAGAGGCACCCCGGATCGCACTGGTGTCCGGAGTGGGAGATCAACGTCAACGATCGTTGTAAGAACCCTCTGGTTGCCCAGGAGCTTCTGGTGCACTCGGTGTTGCCTCGGGACAGCATTTATACTAGAAAGCTCACTCCGGGCGAGCTGATGCAAATAGGGCTGTCGACGGTCCGGGTCTGGACCCGGACCCGGCCCGAACCCGCCAACATTTGACGGGTATGGATAGGAATATAGGCCCGCGACCCGAACCCATATTATCTAATACATTTGCGGGTCGGATACGGGATATACCATTCCGACCCGTATCCGACCCGGACCCGTTTTAATTAATTAATAATTAAAATATATATACCTATCTATCAATTATTCATACCAATACTACTTTCATAATTTCATTCCCAATTCTTTCGAACCCTAATACCCATCGCCGCACCTGCACCTCCCTTTTCCCCTCACTCTCTTTTCTCTTTTGCTCTGTCTCCCACCTCCGCTAGTGACCGCTGACCAGTCCGCTCTCCCATCTCCATCTCTCCATCTCCGGCGACGCTCTCGACTCTCTCCAGCTCCAAAGAAGCCCAGCTATCATCGTTACCGTCGAGTCTGGCCAGCTCCAAAGAAGCCCAACCCGGTCTAGTCTCACTGTCTTCTCTCTTGCACTCTCCATCTCTGACGCCGGCGAGCTCTCTCCATCTCTGACGCCTGGCGGTTGCAGCTCCGGTCGAAGCCCAACACTTCCAGCTCTTCCAGGCTTCCAGCAGGCCAGCTTTCTTGTCTCGTCTGCTTTACCTTTTTTATCCCCTTTTATTTAATAGGGAGAAGAAAAATTAGAAAAGCCGAAAAGAATTGTAAAGGAGAAGGCACGTCTCCAGAAAACCTACAATTGAAAGTGGACGATATTTGCATCGCATTCTTTCGGTAACCTCATCTCAAATGCAAAGTTTGCTGGATAGTTATTGGATTGTGCAGCAACTGGCTCTTTGTTTTTTTGCTACTACAAGATATGATACCATGACAATAAAGTAGGCAAGTGGATCACTCCCAAGCATTTGAGAGGTTCTTGTTGAAAGGAAAAAAAAAAGAAAGAAATCCAAAAGCCCTGTTGCTCGGCCTCTAATTTTCACCAAGAAAATAATTTGTTATTATTTGGTCTCTGCACAAAGTTATTTGAAAGATTTTGCACTCCAAAAATCGAGGAGCAAAATTCAATAATAATGCGTCTAGATTATGAAAAATGGAAAAATGCGCTTGATTGCTATAACTAGTTATTAAGGTCAGCAGAAAAGGTGAAGATGATAGAAAGAAAGGATCTCAGGCAGATAATAAAATGAGGGCAAGGATAAAGATGAAGGTGTAAATCAGGTTTTTTTACTGGTCTTATTCGGGTAGGCCCTACCCGACCCGGGACCCGTCGGGTGCGGTTCCAGATAGAGATTAAGAGACCCGTCGGGTATTTGGGCCGGTTCCGGAATTAATACGGTATTACGGGTCCGGGTTCGGATTTATTGATTCCGGCCCGGACCCGACCCGTTGACAGGCCTAGATGCAAAGTGCTTCAGTCTCCTGAGCCTCCACCACGGCCTTCTTTGCTGAAATGATACAACGCTACGGGCGTTTTATGGAAACCTTTGAGCCACCAGCCGAGCTCCAGAAGAAGATTGCCGACCTGGAAGAAAAACTGAAGGCAACTGAGCTAGAGCGCGACAAGGCCGAGGCGACAAGGAAGAAGGCCGAGGTCGCGAACAATTCCTTGGTCACCGCCCTTGACGAGGAGAGATGAAGAAGGGCCCAAGAGGAGCAGTCGACCAAGGAGGCCATAAATAAGGCCGGGGTAACTGCCGTGGAGTCCTTCCGCAGCTCGGAATCCTTCACGCGCGACCTCGGGGAGCTTACGCGACCGAGCTTCATGCTTGGCTACACTTCGGCCATCAATGATGCAGCGCCCTTCCTCTCTTCTGAACAGCTGGAGTCCCTTCAAAGCACTCCTCACTATAATGAGGACGCCAAGAAGCTGTGCGACTGCATGGCTGAGGGAATCCAAACTGGAAGGGACCTAGCCGAGATCCGGATCGAGTTCAACAAATGGCTCCAGAAGTTTGAGATAGATGGTACTGAAGACGACCAAGCCGGCGGAGGAGCTGAGGGAGGACAGGATGCCGAAACGGGAGGCGCGACCATGGGGGTCAGGATGCCGGGGTAAGCGGTCAGGATGCCGGGGTAGGAGGTGCTTAGAAGCACTCCTCTATGACCTCGGCCTTTTGCTTTTTGTTCTTCAATGAAATCAACTTTTTGTTCTCGCATATTTTTTGCCTCTTTTTGATCGAATTGAATTCAACTTTTCTTATTTTGAACACTGCTTTGTCCCCTTATTTTTCACTTGAAGAAAATAAATTGAAATTTGAACAAGTGAGAAATAACTTGGAGAACTGAAATTTGAGAACACGTACTCTTTAAGGGTAATACAACTTAAGGTTTTCAGCATGCCAAGTCCGGAGCACTCGAGAGCCATCTCGGTAAGCTAATTTACAATATCCATTTTGGTTGGACTCAACAACACGGTAAGGTCCTTCCCACTTGGGGTTAGTTTACCCTGAGATTCAACTCGACTAACTGAGTTCTTCCCTAGAACAAGGTCTCTCGGATTGAACCGCAAGTGCTTGACCCGAGCATTGTAGTAACCAGTTAGGATATTCTTATAAATGGCGATCTTAGCTGCGGTCATATCACGCTTTTCCTCGGCGAGGTCGAGATCAACTCGTCGTTCCTCTTCATTGGCCTCGGCAGCATATGCGGCCATACGCGGGCTTGGTGTGATGAACTCGGTTGGGACAACAGCTTCAGACCCGTAGGTTAAGGAAAACGGGGTTTCTTGGGTTGTTGACCTCGGCGTAGTTCGGTAGGACCAGAGCACACTGGGAGCTCTTCCATCCAGGACGATCCAGCCCGGTGGAGCCTAGTCTTGAGTCCATGGAGAGTTCGGTTGAAATTTTCGACTTGTCCATTTGCTTGTGGGTGTCCAACCGAGGTGAAATGCTGCTTAATCCCCAAGTTTTCACACCACGCCTTGAAAGGATTGTCTGCGAACTGCCTGCCATTATCCGAGATGACCACCCGGGCAGGCCGAAGCGACACAACACGTTCTTCCAAAAGAATTTTTGAACAGCAACTCCGGTTATGCTTCTCAGGGCTCGTCTCGACCCATTTGGTGAAATAGTCTACTGCTACCACCACATAGGCATAATATCCTGGAGCTTTTGGAAAGGGGCCGATTATGTCAATTCCCACTGCTCGAATGGCCATGGCAAAGTGATGGGGATCATAAGATTAGTCGGTTGGTGGTGCTCAGGAGCGTGGTGCTGACAAGAAGGGCAACAGAGTACCATGACCTGGGCATCTACCCTCATGGTGGGCCAGAAGTATTCGAGCAGCAAGGCTTTCTTCATGAGCATCCTGAAACCGACGTGGGCACCACAAAATCCCTCATGAATGTCTTGAAGGACTCCCTTACCTTCTTCCGGGGTGATACACCGCAACTAGGGGTCGAGGTAAGACCTCTTGTATAGGAGGCCTTGTCGGAGGATGTACCGAGCTGCTTTTCGTTGAAGCTTCCGTGCTTCACCTCGGTCTTCTGGAAGCTCACCCTGACTGAGAAATCGAGTCAAAGGCCCCATCCAGGTGTCCCCGGGTAAATGGGGTATACAACCTCTCCTTCGTACCCCGGCTCGGATAGGACTTCCACGAGAACCGTCTTGTTCAGGTCGGCAAAAGAAGTAGAGGCGAGCCGGGAGAGAGCATCAGCCCTCCGGTTCTGTGACCGTGGTATCCTTTGAATTTCGAAAGACTCAAAGTGTGCCACCAGTTGGAGGACCTTAGAGAGGTAGCGATGCATCACCTCTTCCCTGGCCTCGTATTCGCCTAATATTTGGCACACGACGAGTTGGAAGTCACTATAGACCAAGATGTGTGCGGCCCCGAGCTTTCGAGCTAGTTGTAAGCCGGCAATGACAGCCTCGTATTCGATTTCGTTGTTGGAGGCAGTGAAGTCAAACCTCAGGGCGTACGAGCACACATCTCCTTGAGGGTCTTCGAGGAGCAAGCCTGCTCCACTACCCTCACTGTTGGACGATCCATCCACGTGTAGAATCCATCGCTGGAGCCCAGCGATGGCCACTTCAGCTGTCACCGGGGTGGTAGCTCGGATGGGTTCTTTCACCTCGTCAAAGGTGAGTTCGACTAAAAAGTCCGTGAGAGTCTGGGTCTTGATGGCTGTGCGAGGTTCATAAGAGAGGTCATACTCCCCCAACTCAATGGCCCATTTGGTAAGACGTCCCGAAGCCTCAGGTCGTGTCAGGATCTGCCGGAGTGGTTGATCAGTCCTCAAACAGATGTGGTGAGCTAGGAAATAGGGCTTGAGTCTGCGGGCTGCGTGGATCAGGGCCAGCACAAGTTTCTCCGCTTGTGTGTACCTTGTCTCGGGACCTCGGAGAACTCGACTAACGTAGTAGACGGGCATTTGGACTCCTTTCCCTTATCAGCACGGCACTCACGGCCTCCACCGCAACAGAAAGATATAAGATCAGCTTATCCCCGGTCGAGGTGAGGTGAGCGTGGGAAGGTAGTGAAGGTAATCCTTCAGCTGCTCAAACGCCTGTTGACACTCTTCAATCCAGGAGAAGTGGTCAGTTTTCTTCAATACTTTGAAAAATGGCAGAGCTTTGGAGGCTGACTGCGATAGGAACCGGTTCAGGGCGGCCAACTGCCCCGTCAACCTCTGGACATCGCGGACGCACCGAGGTGGAGACATCTCCTGGATAGCTCGCACCTTATCCGGATTCGCTTCTATACCTCGCCTTGAGACGAGATAACCTAAAAATTTTCCCGAGGTGACCCCAAAGACGCATTTCTTGGGTTCAGCATCATTCGCGTCTTCCGGAGATATCACGGACCTCTTTCAGGTCGGCCAGAAAAGCGAAGGTCGTCTGGCTTTTGAGGAGGATGTCATCTACATAGGCCTCAACATTTCGGCCGATCTGAAACTTGAATGCTTGGTTGACCAAGCGTTGGTAAGTGGCTCCGGCATTCTTCAGCCCGAACAGCATGGTAGTGTAACAGTACGTGCCGCGGTCAGTATAGAAGGCCGTCTTCTCCTGGTCTTCTTAGCTCATACCAATTTGGTGATAACCTTTGAATGCATTCAGGAAACAGAGGATCTCATATCCCATTGCCGAGTCTACTAAGGTATCAACCTTGGGCAATGGGCAACAGTCCTTGGGGCAGGCCTTGTTGAGATCGGTGAATTCGACGCACATTCTCCAAACCCCCGTATCCTTCTTGACCATGACCGGGTTGGACACCCAGGTAGGGTATTGGACTTCCCGAATTATTTTAGCGGGTAAGAGCTTGTTCACTTCCTCACCGACAGCTCGGCTGCGCTCAGGGCCGAGGTGCCTTCTCTTCTGTTTGACCGGACGGACTTGGGGGTCGACGTTCAGCTCATGCATCATGAGATGGTGCGGGACCCCTTGGACCTCTTCGTCGACCCAAGCAAAGACGTCCCGATATTCTCTGAGGAGGTCCACCATATCTCTTCGGACAGGACCGGGCAATCGGGTACCAACGCAACTGTTTGATCAGGCTTCGTGGGGTCCAGGGGAAGCTCTTCCACCTCATCCCCAATCTCCAGCCTCGGGACCTTCTCAGCTCGCTGAGGATCGATACTATTTATTGAGAGAATATTTGACCTCTTCTCGGTCTCGTTCCGGAGATTGATGGGGAGGCCGCTTGTAGAGTGGCGAGGTAACACTCTCGGGCAGCGCAGACTTCGCTACTGACCTCGGCCACTCCTGCATGGGTAGGAAACTTAAAACTTAGGTGGTATGTAGAGTACACCGCCCGCAGAGCATTAAGAATAGGTCGACCCAGGAGCAAGTTGTATGGGGAGTCAGCCTTAACCACACAAAATTCACTGGGATAGTTCGGCAGCGGGGGTGGTGCCCCACGGTTACCGTTAGGGTCACCATTCTCTCGGGGTGCACAACGTGCCCCCCGAACCCTACAAGAGGGGTTCTCACCGGGGTCATGTGCTCCCTGGTCAGTTTAAAACTCTCAAAGGTGCGGAGGTACATGACGTCAACTGAACTTCCCGGGTCTATGTAGATCTTTTTCACAATATAGTTGTTGGTGAGGACTTCAATCACTAAAGTTTCATGACTGCTGGAGGCAGTTGGGACGGGATCACTGGGTCCGTAGGTGATCACCTCGGACAGGCGAGAACTCGACTCGGCCTGATCTGGATTGGCCTGCCTATAGGTCCTCTTCCGGGAGTTCTGACTATCTCCTCCTGTCGGACCTCCGGCAATGGTGTTAATGACTCCGGCGATGTTCGGCCCATATCCCAACCCATGTCCAGCAGATCCGTCTGGGGGAGGCCCTTTCGTCTCCCTGGGATCCTCAGGAGGTCGGCAGCTGCTTCTGGAGGTCCGCCGCTCATCTCGGCGTCGGTCTCCTCGTTTGTCTCGCCGGTTTTCATCTCGTTAGTGGCCTCCAGCTCGGTGGATGAACTGTTTTAAGTGCCCCTGTCTAATGAGATTCTCGATCTCTCTCTTGAGATCGTTGCAGTCCTCAGTCTCGTGACCAATGTCACGGTGATATAAGTAGTAGAGGTTCGAGTTCCTCTTGTCTCTGCTTCCATACATCCTCGGTGGGGCTTTTCCGAGGTTGTTTTGTTCCATCACGGACAACACCTGAGACCGGGAAGTGTTCAAAGGAGTCAACTCGGAGTCGAGAATGGGCGACTTCCCTTTGGATATCCTGTCGAACACGTTTCGGCGGTCCCGGCCAGGATTTCGGAAGCCACTTCACGTTCCCACTTCAGCTCGGCTGGCATCTTTTCCCTTTCGGGGATCAGCCCTTAGACGGGTGGCTTGGACCTCTTTCTTCATGCAGTGGAGGTCTTCGGCCTGTATGCCCTTTTCAACCTTCAGCCACAATTCATGCAGTGTGCGGGGATATTTCTTATGGATCCCCGTATTGAACTCCCGGCAACGAGTCCATGGGTAAAAGCAGCGAGGGTTACCTACTCATTGGGGGTCAGGTATCTGAACGCTTTTCTCATGGAACCTCCGGACGTACGACCGAAGTGACTCTCCCGGATTCTGTTGCACAATGAACAGGTAAGCCGAGGTCTTGGTCGTAGGTCGGGAGGAGACAAACCGGTGGAGAAACTTTTCCACTAATTCACCCAGGGTCGATATGCTCCTAGGTTCTAGGGCCCAGAACCATTTTCGAGCTGTTCCCCGAAGGAATACTGAAAAGGCCCTGCAGATGACGGGGTCTGGGATGCAGTATAGGCGGAAGGCCGAGATGAAGGCATGGATGTGGTCTTCGGGTCACCTCGGCCATCATAAGATTGTACTGCGGGGAGCTTAAAATTGGGAGGAAACCTTTCCTCGTTTATATCATCTGTAAACGGTGGAGCCCTCATGCAGTCCACCCCGGGTATTCCCAAGGACCGAGGCTCTTTCTCGGGTCGTCGCCCCAAGAGCCCTCGAGAAAACGCCTTGGTCAGGAAAGGTACCTTAGAGGTAGCCTTAGAAAATGCTCGCTTTGAGGCACTTCGGCTTAAGCGCCTCCCATCTGACCCTTCTTCAGATGAGTCCTCAGGAGACCCATCTGACTTCCTTTTAGAGGACTCGGCTTTTGTTTGCCTTGTCTCTTAAGGTATCTCCCCAACTCTTCAAAGATGTTGGGTTCTCAGTTACAAACTCGGCCATACGGGTTATGGCTTCTTCGTTTGCGGGCTGAGTCCTCGGGGACTCCTGCCCTTCAGAAATATTTTCTTGTTGAGCTGCATTGCTTTGCTCAGCCTCTATAGCGAGAGCTTTTCTGCTCCTAGAACGCGCAGGCTTCATCTTCTAATATCTTTGCGTTCTCACAGACGGTGCCAATTGAAGAGGTGAATTTCGACGGCAGGAGTGAGTCACCCGAACTGGAGGAATGCCTTTACCTTGGGCAACTCTCTTGGACGAAGTCACCTGCTTGGATAAGAAAAGGGGTTGGATCCCCCGGTATAACTCCGAAACTTAAGTCAGTTCGGATATAGAGAAGTAAGAAAGTAATGAGTGGAGATAGCGTTCTACCAGAAATTGGTCATCCCCTATTCCAGTAGAGGTGTTGTGTATTTATAGGGGACGGATTGGAGAGAGGAACTACCTGCACAAGTCCCTGAAGATCTGAGATAGTCAGTGCATCTGGTGGACTTGACCAGTCTATGAAAAGATGTGATGTGATATCCCGTCAGG